CACTCTCCCTTCTCTTCCTCCACCATCTCCTCCTCTTCAGCACATTCCAGCCTGTTTCCGGTGTCGGCATTAACTACGGAGTTCTCGGAAACAACCTTCCTTCACCCAAGAAAGTAGCTCAGCTCCTCCAATCCACCCTACTCGATAAGGTCAAAATCTACGACACCAATCCGGAAATCCTCGAAGCCTTCTCAAACACCGCCATTGATCTCGTAGTAGCAGTACAAAACCAAGTTATTTCCATTCATTTATTAAATTTCTTTTGTTTATTTAACCGGTTGGGCCGATCCGACCGACCAAACTAATCCGTCAATTTAATAAATATTATTAAATTTATTTTATCAATTATAAATTATTTTTACTTTAATTAAATCGATTAAAATCATTTTTATATTCATTGATCAAAGTAGTTATTAATTTTTAAGACTTTATTTTCAAAATTTATTGATTTGAAACTAATTTCATTAGTTGAATGTATTAAAATACATAATATATTTTCTTTTATTAGTCATATAAAATATTGATATCATATTAATTATAAAATTGTTATTTTTTTTCTTGTATTGATTTCATTTCTAAAATTGATTAAGATTAATTTTCATTTTTAAATTGATTTCATTTAAGTTTAATTTTAAATTAATTTCATTCATTTTATTATCTAAAGTAGTCATTTATTTGATTTATAAAATTAAATTGATTTGATTTTAAATTAAAATCACTCTATAATGTGAAATAGTAATTTAATTTTAAATTAATTTTACTTTAAAAATCAATTCGAATTACATTTAAATTAATTTAAAATTTTTCATTCATTAATTGGGTGATTTGACTTTAAATAGATTTTACAATTTAATTATTATATTATCTATTAAATAAATAAGTATAAAAATTAAGGGAAAATGAAAAAAATAAGAAGTAAAAGTGTAAAAAAAAAAGTTGAATTGGTTTGGATCAACTAGATTTTAGCAGTTTGGATAAGTTTGGGTGAGTTTTGATCAAGTTTGACTAGTTTTGATATCTACCAAGTTAATATCACAATCAACCCCTTTTTGGAATCACTTTCAATTCAATTGGTTGAACAAATTAGGCCAGACCAATTTTCAAAATAATGATTTTCAAGCTTCATGTTACCTTTTTTTTTTTTTTTTTTTTCGAACATTTTGATATAGGGCGGGCTTTGAACCCGCCCAAGGAAAGGAGAGTGCACTTATTCAATAGTTAATGCCATTGGAGCTCTTGGGTCAAGTGCAAGCTTCATGTTAGCTATTTACTATAAAAAAGATTTTGAACCTTTTATTTTGATATGGAATTGAGGTTTTACAAATAATGTATATTTATTCAACCAACCTCTTATTGGTGTTAGAGTAAACTAAACCAAAGAAAATGATGAAAGAAACTATTCTGCAATTTAAAAAGGTTAATTGCCAAATTTTAAAGATTGGGATAAATTTTAAAGAAAACTAAAGGTTACGGACCAATAAATATTTAGAAACCTTTTCACAATTTCTTTTTGTTTCTGTTGATTTGTTATTCAATAACTAATCATCACTTGGCAAATTTCACATAACCTTAGTTATTAATTTTCTTTGACTTCATTGAAACTAATATGCAGGAATTGTAACGGGAACAATGACAACGACCTATTCATAAATTGGAGACCAAGTACTTGCACTGACCAAAATACTACTTGGATATAGAGCTTGAGCTAATTCAAAGAATTTTGAATCCCAAATGAATCCAACAGAAAAAGTTGGAGATTTATTTGAACAAAGAAGGCTAAATTGCTGCCTGTGAACATGCAAAGACTCTTGGACACCAGCTTCACACCGTGACTTGAGGAGAGCTAGGGCTGCAGCATCGAACAAGGTCCCAACAAGTATCGGTGCAACCAAGGTCGTCTGTCTTGTTCTACCTTGGTTCTAGGGCAAGCTCAACAGCATTGCACTCTGTGTACTAACATCAAGTTTTTCAATTGTTAGCCTTGTTGTGAATGTTGAGAAGGGGATTACAGCTAAGGATGTCAATGCTGCCTTTAGAAAGGCAGCTGAGGAGCCATTGAAGGCATATTGACCATCTGTGATGTTCCTTTTGTGTTAATGGACTTCAGGTGCAGCGATGTTTCTTCTACCATTGACACTTCACTAACCATGGTAATGGGAGACGACATGGTTAAGGTGGTGGCTTGGTATGACAGTGAATGAGGTTACAAGTCAAGATACATTTCTTAAAACCTTGTTGTTTCTAACTATAATCTTATTTGTGCCTTACCAGTTACTAATAGTAATATGATGGATATTTGTAGCCAAAGGGTAGTTGATTTGGCACATCTTGTAGCAAGCAAGTGGCCTGGCATGCCTGCTGCACGAAGTGGTGATCCCTTTGACGATTTCTGCAAGACAAACCTTGTTGATGAAGAATGCAAAGTTCATTAAGCGTAGATCATATGAGTTTTCTTGTCAAGATGAATGCTACAATGACTAGGTTTTTGCAAATGCTTATTTTGTAATGATAGTTGCTTCATCATGAACATGATAATCTTTTGATATAGCCAAAGCTAATAATGAGATTGTTTCTAATTCTATTGCCTTTACCTCTCAAAATATATACAAGATTAATGAATCCATATTCCAATTAATTCCTATTAGATTAGTTAATTAAAACCTATCAGTTAAACCAAACATTGGTTTTCCAATGTCAAAAATTACTAATAGGTTGATTGGTTGAAGAGCTTGACATACCAAAGCATCCTTGGGAATGTAAAGATGCATGTG